CCAAGAAAGGTCGTCTATATTGAGAATGGTAGTATAGTAAATATGTTTTACTATGTTTGAGAAGAAGGTTTTGGTTAGTTGTGGATGAGTGTACATGGACGTAGATAAGGACTTGTCAAATAAAATGAGTCTTTAGAAAATTAAGTTCTTAAAGAAAATAAAGCTCTGGTCATTTTCAAAAAAAAAAAAAATATTATTAATTTATAACAACAATGGATAGTCATTAATTGTTTTTCAATTTCTAAATCAATTACCACTAAGTCGTCACAGTTTAGCTGCTTTGGTTTAGAATAATAAAGAGTAGTTAGTGATCATTATTTTTGGTCACTCAACCTTCGATACAGTGACCACTATTTTTGGTCACTAAGCCTCTAACACAATGACCATTTTCTCAGTCACTAATAGTTGTTTTGATATGAAAAAAAAATTTAATTTTATTCATGGTTTAAGGACCAATTTAATGACTACCATATATAATTTGTCATTAAATTTGTAGGATTATTAAAATTAAGTGACAACTAAATTTTTGGTAACTAAATGATGTTGTTAGTGACTAAATTTTAGGTTGTCACTAAAAATTGGTCACTAATAAGAACTTTTCTTGTAGTGGGAACCGGACCGGTTTGGTAGGATTCTAAAGACTATGGATTGCACCGATGGAGGCATATCGTTTCTGGTGTTGGTGTCGGTTTTTCGGATCATGTACTGGTTTGACCGATATAACCTGGTGTGTATGGTACAAGTCACTAAAACAAAGTTAGTTTTCTCATGCTAAAGTTAACTTTTAGGGAATAATAGTACTAGGAGGATTAAAATATAAATATTTTGGTACTCTACCAAGATCATTTTCAAAGTATGCCACAATATTAGTTAGGAAAAGTAATTATTAATGGTAATTAACTGTTACGTTTGTTTTCATTTGATCACTTTTTTTTTGCACTTAATGTATCATTAAATTTGTTATTTGTGTTCACCATATCCATTTTCACCGGCTTTTAACCTGTGATAGCCGGTCAAAGGGTTATGTTGAACACAAAAAACAAGTTCAGTGGTATGTTGAGTACAAAAAAAGGGATCAAATGAGAACAAACGCAACAGTTAGTTACCCTCAAGAATCATTTTCCCTTTACTCATTTACAACAAATCTCACATCATCTCATGCTCATATTAATGACTTTATGAGATTCATTTTCTTGTGTTCAAAACATAACCTACGAAAGAACAGTATTCATACGCGTACAACTTTGTAATGTATTTGAATATGTATTAGGGGAATCTTGATTAAACAGGTGCATTTCATGACTACATTTACATTTCCAATCAAATGATTTATCGTATCATGGATTCTAGACAAGTTTACAAACGAATGAAATCACAAATGCTGTGATTTTTGAGTTTACTTAACTTTAAGATCGAATTCATGGGATAAAATATTATCATGCAGCTTTTGCAGACACAACATCATAATATACCTTGAAGTAAACATTTATACTGATAAATATACCTCTCATACACAACCATATTCTTTTGTAGAGAGGTGTTGACAATTAACCACAGTAAGCATAACATAGACCATGTGTTAACGAAGCTACCCCTTCAAAACGCTCTTCATGTACGTTATGGCCAAAGAAGGTTGCAGTCTTTGACAATTTTACAACTTTAATTTCATTTAACTTTTAGGGGAAAATGACTCAGGAGGGTAACCAACTGTTGAGTTTTTTTCTCATTAGATCCCTGTCGTTTTTTTTTATTTATTTTTTTTATTATTTTTTTTACTCAATATACCATTGATCTTGTTGTTTGTTTTCATCATAACCCTTTGACCGACTATCACAGGTCAAAATCCGGTCAAAAGGGCTATGGAGAACACAAACAACAAGTTCGATGGAATATTGAGTACATAAAAAAGGAAATGGACCAAATGAGAACAAACATAACCGTTTGTTACCTTCAAGAGTCATTTTCCCTATTTTGTTATCATTATCATACTTAAATGTGAATGTTTCGGTACTCTATCAAGACACTTGTCACATGTTTTTTTTTTCCAAAAATGCATAAAAATGAATTAGCATTAATCATAATGAAAAAAAAGATAAAACATAAAAGCCGAACGTTTTTAGCATTGACACCCTGACCGGGGGGGGGGGGGGTGAGATTCTAAATTATCGAATACCAAACCAAAAATGATGAAAGTATGGCGTAAAATGAAGTACGGAATCTAAACCACATGCTGGGAAAGATTTCATGTTAGTCCATATTTAACCAAATGACTTATGTATTTTTAGAAATTATATAGATTACACTGAAAAACAGAAGAGCTGAAAAACATTCATTATTGATACCCCAACTTCGGGGACTGTAACTCATAGAATATGTATTAGGATCCTATTCTCAATGTTAACATTGAGTCATCGATATCTACTAAAGGCGTTGTCATGCTTAAGAATGGTGTTCTGGGAATTATCGGAATGTTGTCATCTTTTTCTATATTTGGGACTACAAAATCAATTAGGAATACAAATTTTCATTCTTTAACGATTAAGTACTCCATAATTCCATTAGGATAAGTGACTGAGTGGTTTGCCATTTGAATTGCCATAATTTTTGTCTTTAATTATGAGTTGATGAGCTTTTGTAGAATGAGTACGATATGAGATTAATATTTGCACTAGAATTGGATAACGTCATTGTCTTTTTGGAATTACTAAAATCACACGGTAATATTAAGCTTCTCTGATCTTTCATCTTGGAAGGTAAATTGTTTATAATAACAGCATAACATTATTCATTTAGTATCTCATTTGTCGCTCGGTCCATTTTATTTCGATTGGTGAGTAAATCTTTGAAGAATTTCACAGACTTCAGCATTTGAGCTATTACATATATGAATGTTATGTTTATCGAGAGTGATATGATATCTAAGTCCAATAGTTTTGTTTGCTCTTGATTGTGTTGGGCGTATCTTGCCCTTTTGGAATAAGGTAGTGGTGGTTGATACGATTATATATTGGGCACTTAAGGAATCTACTCAAAAGAACGTAATGCAACATGCTTGTCGGAGGTTGGAATATAGCATCACTTATGTAGTGGTGTTAAACATGATGATGAATACGGAATACAAAATGATTTAGTGAATCATACAAGAATTATGAACACGAAGAACACTAGAGTAAATAAATTTGGGTTTGGCTCTCATTAGTTTAGAAATAGTACAAGTGGGTTTGCAATATTTCTCACTCTAAACTAACTCTCACAAGTTCTTCCATACATAAAACGAGTCTCACTCACTTCAAAGGAAAGACAACTCATTACACAAATAAAGGAGCAACCACACATGACATCCAACAGTGACTTTACACCCTAACATTCTCCCCCTCAGAGTTAGGATTCGATGTCCCGACATCAATATCCAACGAGCTCGCGCAATCAAGACCAACTCCACCTAGAAGTAATACTGCTCTCCAAATCCGCAACTGAATACTCGAGAAGTTTCGAATACCCACTGTACATTCTCTCCCTTTTATAATTAAAAAGTGACTATAAAGCCCACTAAGGTTAAGAAGCGCTTGATGAATGAACTGCACAAATTTGCCCCTCGATGTGTGTCAAAAATGAAACCGTGAAAAAAGTGCATAAAAAAACAATTACAAAAAGTCATGAAACACTACTAGAAAAAAGACCTTAAATGACGCGCTTTTTACGATACGCGCTGATTAACGATACGCAATAGGACATGCCCTTAAAATAGTGTTATCTCTCCAAAAAATTTAAGGATTTACGACACGCATTATTGCGTGCCCTTAATTTAGTGTCTCAAGAAAAAAAAAATTAGAAACACGGAGGGCGCTTTATCTTAAACGCGCGTCGTCTGTACATGTCGCTTTATAATTTTAATGAAACGCGCTTTTAGTTAATGAAGGGGGAAACGAAATCCCCAAAATTTTGAAAACCCGCCTTGTTTTTTCTATCTTCTATCTATTTTTCATCCTTGCAATCCACTCTCCCCTCTCTGATACTCTCTCCTCTAGATCTCCCTTCATTCTCTACCTCCCGTCTCTCTGTAAACCTCGAAGGTGAATTGTAATTGATCTGCGAGGTCTCCTTCTTTTTCTTTGTTTTCTCAGGTACAGCATCATCCTAATCCATTAACCCCTTTCATTTTTCATTAAAAAAACCCTAATTGACTTGGCAAGTTCATGAACCAGATGTAGCACATTCCAAACTGGGGATTTAACCAAACCCAATAGAGCCATTGAAGGAATCTTTGGATCCGATCAACAAGGACTCTCTGTAATCACGTAGCTTTCTTCACAAGGGATCGCTCCAGGTCTTCAATCTATCAATCTACAATGTCCACTGTCAAGTTACATCGAATCAAGGTCTAGGGTTTCAAAGGCTTCAAGTTCTTCCCAAATAATTTCCCCTCTCAAGACGATTTTCCTCGATCGTATCTTTATGGCGATGATTCTCTCTCGATCGGATCGAAGACCGCTCACTCTCTCCTTAGATCTCCATGTGAGTCTGATCCCCCTCTCTGTAACAGCCTCGCTTCCTTCCAAAAATCGAAGACCATTCTCTCTCGATCGTCTCTTTATGGCGAAATTTAGACACAATAATCTCAACATAAAATTCATAACTGAACTCCTCTTCACCGCTATCCTACTCCATCTACAACGACTCCTTAAATTTACAAACCCTAGTCCAGTTGCGCTTCTAGTCAAATCAGGTACATATCTATCTGCTTTTTGAATTCTCATGGATTGGAAATTTCTTGATACTTCGCTAGCTTTTAAACAAACAAAAATCAATTTTTCTCTCAATAATTCGTTGGATTTTTCATTGGTGTTCCCCTTACTGGTTTCGATAACCTCTCTAATCTGTGAGGTTTGTGTTTACTTTCTTTCCCTCCCTCTCTCTAAGAAGAAAACGCAGCCTCATCGCCTTCAATCACCCAACGACATAGGTGAAACTCAAACTTCTCAGACCAAAATAAATATTGTATGAAAGAAAACCTATCCATTAATGGAAGAAGTGCAGGGGGGTTGCTTATTGGTGCTGTTGTGAACATGAGACCTGATTTATTTAAGGCTACTATAGCTGGAGTACCATTTGTAGATGTTGTGACTACAATGCTTGGTCCAACTATTCCTCTTACAACTGCAGAATGGGAGGTGATTTATATATAATATTTTTTTTTGTTTTGGAAACTCAAAGAAGGATGATATGATAATATTAGTATGTTTCTTTGTAAATGTGAATGACTTGCTCTATTGCAGGGATGGGGTGATCCTCGAAAAGAAGAGTTCTACTTTTACATGAAATCATATTCACTAGTTGACAATGTGAGTGCCAATGTATCTTGTTTCAGTTTAACTGATATAAATCCATCTGGCAGATCATCAAATGAAAATGTTGAAGTTAATTACTGATGGGTGTCTATTTTGAATAGGTAAAAGCTTAGAATTATCCAGCCATAGTTGTTACTGCTGGAATAATGGTAGGTTGTCAAGAGTTATATTCAGGATGTGATTGATAAAGATGGTGAGGGGTTCACTATGGTCACAAAAAAAGCTGGAAATGCAGGGACTGCTACTGTGAAGGGGTACGGTACATGTGATATTCATCCCAATGTTTCTGGAAGCAAATGTAGTAATTGGAATGGAGGGGATAACAAAAGAGGAAGCTATAATAGTGTTAATAAGGGTAATAAAGGTTCTAATAACAGAAGTTATAGTGGGAATTGGAATAGGGGGAGTGTTATCCATTGGAATCATCAAAAGAAACACGACTTTGTTGCTGCAAATAATAAATCTTTCATTGTAGATAAGCAGGGGCATAATGGGAAAGAGAGTGTGGATTCTAGGAAAAAAGAGGAAAAAGTGGAGAAGGGAAAGGATTTTAAGGGTAGCCAAATTATAAATCTTTCATTGTAGATAAGCAGGGGCAGTCTTCTCCTGATTCTATGGAAAAGGTTGTCAAATAATCAACTTTGTTATTGTATATTGATGATTATAGATTAGTGGCTTTGAGAATCTAACAATAACTTTAACTCTTTTTTTTCTTGCAGATATCAGCAGAATCCTGTCCTGCTTCTGATCTGTTGGTCAATAATTCTGACAGTGGTCAAACTGAGGCTATAGAATCTAAGTGTGATACCAGGGTGAATTCCAATCTTGGGAACCATGATTGTTTAAATCCTATGAATGACATCCTTGATACCATGTAAGTTTGAAAATT